ACATTGGACATGGTGGTGGTGTCGGAAGGGGAGGGTAGGTTAGGAAAGAAGAAGTTGGCATTGCGACACTCCAAAGGAGGCGGAAAATGTGCATCCAGATTGGGCAACGACCACTCGGGACTACAGCAGAGACGTTGAAAGAGACGGGGATGGTGAGTGGCGCGGTTCCAGGCGCGGTTGACCTGAGATGCGCGCATCAGACACTCTAGGTGCAGAAAGGCGCAAAACAGTACAAACGGTAAAGTGCAATAACACTTAGCCACACACAGCAGTGTCAGTTACCAATTATTCCAAGCTCATAGTTCAAACACGGTTACGTAATGGGAGCGGTTAAACACTCTTTTTTTCTTACTCCCACCCATCCAACGCTGGTGCAAGTTCAAACGTATTCGCAAAATCGTTATTGCATTGAAAATGGTCATTTGGCATCGCACAAAACCCCTCCATGAGACATTCCCTTCTAGGCTAAAATTGGCCAAACTGTCTTCACCTTTCTGCAACCAAATAGCCATTAAAACCTAAACACAAGTGAGCCAAGGGAAGGCATCATTAACCCCTCCCCTCCATAACATACTTCACAATGCAGGCACGTCTTCTATGGCAATGGTCTCATCATCTCAGTGGCAGGATGGATGTGCGTTGGGACTGCTAATGCACCGGTTAGGACAATACTATGCCGCAGAAAAGGAAACCCCAAATTCAACAACACCAATACTTGGTAAGTGAGAACATCGAAGTGGCCGGACGAATCAGTTCGAGAGGGAGAAAGTGAAAGCAGAACGAGCCGTGCTCCTATTCACCTAAGTAGGGCAGTACTTTTATCCATTAACTCAAAATCTATGACAAATAATGATGTGATTCTCACGGAATATGAAGCCGCGCTTAAAACCTGCGAAAAGAGTGGTCCTTCCAGGATCACCTGCCATCCCATCACCACTACCATTCGCATTCCTCCTTCGAAACACTCGGTAACACTCTCGCAAAAATCAACTCTGATCACGTTGGAGGAAACTGCCAATCCAATGCATGTCAGCCTTCAACTTCGCCCCAAGTAGCACCACCATGCAAATTCACTGCCTGCCAAATATACCCCACCTGTAGACACTGCAGGAACCTCACGTCGACCCACATGCGGTTGCACCAGTGTCTCCACTCCACTGCACTTTGGCTATCCAACTGTGCTGAGCCAACGCTTGCCCCAACTTTGCACTTTCGGTTCAGCCTATCGCGACCTCAACAACACCGAAATAACCGGCTTAAAGTCGACTCTTACTTGCATAACACGAACAACTTGTCGACGCCCATTTCTCCACTCACCAGATGGCGATATCCTGGGCACACAGATATTGCATCAAACAGTTATCACATTTGAGAGTCGGTGTCAAGACACAGACCTGCCGAACAGATAATGGGGGGTGCATGAGGCAATTTAGTGGTCCACGTTACGTTTTCTGAAAGACCGTGAAGCAGTTAGTAGGAGGTGTAGGGCAGTTGAGAGGGCGTTGCGTCGACCACGCTAAGAGAGTTAAGGAGGACATCTTTTGGAATGCAGCTTGACTTCCGTTTTATGGGTAATAATAGTGGGCAAACCTCGTAAGTAAGGAAACGACAGTAGACGAAGGGCAGGGATTTTGTAAACAGAAAAGCACGATCAGCAAAGTTTACATCAGCTGAACGAATAAATTTCAATTTTATGGGCCAACCTACTGAGGCAGGCTGTTCTACATTGCGCATTTTAGTGCCGTTCTGTCATTTAAAGCCTGTACATCGTAAAATGCTGGTAAGATTTTATGAGAGTGATTCAACTTCTGTTTCACAAACTGAACTTTCCTAGATTCTAAAGGGACCAGAGAAAAACTTCCTTTGGAAGGGGTAAGAATGTAGGCATACAATGATACAACATGTTCTCCACTATTTTTTGTAACCCTAAAGAAGTTTGCCTGTTGGTATCCTTAGGTTACTTCGACAGGTGAAAGTCAGCATCTTTCAATAACGTTTATAAAAAGTGATAGAAAAACGAATGGCATATACCCACATTTGTTTTAAAATATGTCAAATTCACTTAATAACTTTGCGTTAAACGTCGGATATTAGTAGGTGGAGGGCAGGTTTTCCTAACTACAAGTTTTGCCACTACTTTTCTTAACGCAATCAGTTAGGCAATCAAGGCTGTCATATTGCACCACTATTCATTTTCTGCTGCTCCGCTCGTCGCTCACTCCACACCTCTGAGACTGAACTGTTTCAATGCTTTGTGTATGAACTGGACTGCATTCTTCTGCTGAAATGGGTGCTTGCAAAAGTACTCGGAACGAAGAAATTAGTTATTTGAAAAAAATATCATGATCGCGGTGGCAACTATAACCCAAGAAGTCGCATTACACCAAAATTTATTGCATTTTAGGGTGAAACATGAGGAGGCGCTCACATATCATCCTAATCACCCCACGAAGATGTTTGTTCAGCCAGTGTTTGTCACAGTTATTTTAGATTTAGCACACCATATTCGAGTAAGGATTTCAGCTGAGAAATAAAACTTCAATAAGTTGAGGCGTTCAGAATGCAGAGGCTGCCATTGAGGACGGTATTCCGTCCAAAAGTTCACTTATAACCGCCTATCAACCCTAATTGGCTACAAACCTCACACTATTTCGAACAAAGCAGTAATGAAGGCCGAAATTTAGTCTTCAAGGAGAGAAGGCGATGACAGCCAAAATTGTGCTACTCAAAGGAAGTTGATGCGAAACGCTCTGTGGAAACACCAAAGTAATTCAGCTGCTCGCCAATAACATCCCAGTGTGGAATTTACAACAAAACTTGCATTCATCATTAACTCTTTCCCTCAAAATTCTTTATGCTCGAAGAAACAAACTGCTCATCCTTCCCTACAATTGGCACCAAGGTTCACTGATAATCCTCCAACCCCTAGAGCAATCACACCCTAATAGAGTGGTGAATTTCATTTTTCGAATTTAATTGAATTTCAGCATGTGGTTGTCACTATGTGATTGTCAGAAATCATATTCATAAATGCTGTTTATTCATAGCCAAGTGGATGCGTTCACAATTATGCTGGTAGTGTCCCTAAAGATGCATTTTAATTCAGTAAATGGGTTCCGAGAGGCAATTACTTGACGCCGAAGTAAGAGCGACTAGCAAGAGCAAAATTTGCAATTAAACCATTTCTCAAATGAAGCACAGAATCGAGTTGTACACTCTGTGGAACGGAGATAGCTAAGAACTGGGAGCAAAAGCCCCATCTCTAGCAGTTAATTAACAAAGATGCAGAAATTTTCCTTCATACAAATAGAGTGGAGTCGTAAAGTTGATCTAAGACATTCAACCTGCCCTCGTCGCTTACTGTAATTACACTCACGAATGAAGACGTGCGTCCGTGTAACCTGTTCTATAAGTAGGAGGAACACGAAAATAAAATCAGCCCCTAAAAATAGTTGACAAGTAAGGGGAGGTTATACCTAATGGTAAGTAATGTTCTCTCAACCAAAGCACCAAGTCATCACGTTCCTAGTAAAGTTCACGCATAAGTTGAAATGTCATTTTGTCCACATTCAAAGAGCTTTAGAGCAAGAAGAAAGAACGCAAAAACTAGGTGAGAGCCAATGGCACCATCGTAGAGACCGAATTATTGAAAAATGAAATAGAGGAATCTATCAAACCAATGATAATCGTTACGCAAACACAAACGCCGAACCTCCGGTTTCATTACCGAAAAGCACGTCAACAATATTGGACTCATGAGCAGAGACGAATAAACCTACCAAGTTACTAATGCAACACCCAACGGGCAGAAATCGTTTGCAATATGCTTGCCTGTGAAATCCACTGAGGAGACATTGAGCTACTGGAATTATCTGGCCTCATGCGAAAACAGAGGTAAGGTAGCGACTTGCCTGTAACCTTAGTGATCTATTTAAGCGTGTATTTAGTTGATAGAGCACCCACCTGTAATGCAATAAAAGACTCATCTTATTTTAGTTTGCTGTAAAATGGTCATAAAAACCCTCAACATAACCATCAAAAGGAAAACAAGGGAATATTATAAAAACAACTGCAAATACCTTCAATAAGTCTCCGCAAAATTTTCTCGGATAAAGACAGTACAAACAACAAATGCATAAAGCGCATTACACAGCATTGCAAAAAAAAAA